TCGATCCTCAGATCTCAGCCTCCTGAGTAGCTAGGAGGACAGGTGTGAGCCGATGGCACCTGACTCATGGATCTCACTAGAATTTTTTTTTTTTAAACAGAGCTGCAAAACTCCCATCAACAATATATTGAAACCAAGTCATGTCACAGCAGAACCTGTCCCTGGTGTGTTTGTGGTGAAGCTGGTGTGCGTGATCCGAGGGCGCTGTGGGTCACAGACAAGTAGAGAGGATTCAGTAATGACGAAGCCAGGGACCATCGTTGCTACGTTATATGTCGCTACCCTATATGTCTGGTTTAGATGGTGTCCCTGCTTCTAAAATCAGCTTGCTGTAAGCAGCTCCTGTTCAGTGCCATGGCTGCCCGATTGCAGGTCATTAACCACCCCCTCAAGCCTCTCTCCTTTTATTAGCTGTGTGCATTGTGCAAAGGGGTCTCATTGTGCTACGTTGTGCATGTATGTAATGTACTTAGACCGCATCCACCCCCTCCGTGACTCCCTCCTCCCTGCCTTGTTGCTTTCTAGCTTCGATTTATGGTCTCTCCTGATTGGCTAAGTGGAGAGAGTACCTTTGTGGTCCAGGTGAATTCCAGGCCACTGAGTGAGTCTGAGGCCACACAGCTGTCATACGCAGCCCAGCATTAAGTGATGCCTGGCTCTCTTAAGTTCCTGTAGCCACTCAGCCAATATTTATTGAGCACCTACTAAATTTTTTTTTCCAGTGCTGCTTGTAAATTGGTAAGTGCAGTTAAGGGAAGAGGAAGGGGAAGAGGGATGGAGGTGAGCAGGAGGGAAGTGAGGGAAGTGATATTTGGAACCCCAGCGTGAAGGGAGAATGGTCAGACAGGTGGTGGACAGGAAGGACCTAGAGATCAAACCTCCCAGAGAGCCCTGAGTGATAGCGAGCAGAGGGCAATCAGGTGGCTGGAAAGGATGAACGGCCCAGGTCGTGTTCTGTGGGCGTGGCAAAGAGGTCAGCTTTTATCCCACGAAGGAGGCCTTTGATAAATACCAATGAGAAGTGGCAGACTCACTCACAAATCCTAGGCTCAATGGAAAAGGGCTTTTATAGATTTCTAAACTTCCACAGGAGCTAGAACTTGGTTATCTCATGGAGACAAATACTGGATAAATACCAATTTCGGCCACATAGGGGATGGGGTAAAGGGATCACCGCACCAAGGGGCAGAGCTGCTAAAATTTATGAGTTTCCTCTGTCAGGTCGCCTTTTCTTCTCTATTTACTGGGTTCCTAGAGGTGTCACAGGAAGGAGAAAAGCATATTCCCTTGGCAAAACTCCCCCAGAGGAATTTCTTCAGCTTGCACAAGAGAGGGAGTGAGGGTTGGGGTGCTGTTTTGTTTTCCAGACAGGATTAATCCAGGCACTGAGAGCGAACACCTGTAATCCTAGCTTCTCTAGAAGCTGAGATCTGAGGATCATGATCGGAAGCTAGCCTGGGCGGGAAATCCCCTGTGAGACCCTTATCTCCAATTAACCACTCAAAAACCAGAAGTGAAGCTGTGGTTCAAAATGGTGGAGCATCAGCCTTGAGCAAAAGAGGCCCTGAGTTCAAGTCCCATAACTGACAAAAAAAAATTTTTTTTAATTTAAGTAGATTAGTGTTTGCTTGAGGCTTCTCTGGTTGGTTGAAAATGGGGAGTAGCTTCTCGTGAGGGTGAGGTTTATTTTAGGTAATGGGAATGCTTTAAAATTAGATGCCTATTAAAACCACCAAATTCCAGACTTTTAAAATAGGAAAAGATTGCGATATGCAAATAGCATCTTAATAGAGTTATATTTAAAAAAAATTAAAAGCCAAGGAGATTTACTTATTTATTTATTTTGCATCGGAAGCCAGTTTTGAGGGTTTCTTGAATACGGTTTGCATTTCTCTGTGGTGACAGTGGACTGAGGATGGGAGGGGGGGGGTGTCCCCAGGTTTGTCCTGGTCCCCATGCTGCTGGCTGCCCAGCATCCGGGCAGCTCTGGCCATGTGAATCACTGGCACAAAGTATGTGGGCGCTGCACGGGAGACCCTCAGCCCCGGCAGGGAGACCACCGCTCTCCCTCGCAGCAAAGCACGCTGGGAACCCGAAGGGACCACAAGGACCCAGCGGTGTGTGCTGGGCGCAGCCCCCAAGAGACTGTCCAACGCTAAAGCACAGGAAACTCTTAAGCCAGAGTCCCTACTTACTAGCTCCAGGCCTCAGTTTCCCCAGGAATAAATGGAAGGGCAAGAACAGCACCTGCATGCCCCAGGACCCTAGGAACAAGACACCTAAACTTGGGGAGCTTCCTGGCCGGGGCCCTGGGCCTGATTTCTGTCTTTGATATGAAGTGAGTGAGCTTTCCTGTGAGTACGTAATCAACCCCGAGGAATGGAGTAGAAACAGAGGGCAGATGGGGCCCCCCAAAAACTTGTGGCTGGCGTCTCCTTCTTGGGGACACTGGTTGCTATGGTGTGATGGTCTCTCCCTCGGGCCCACAGGGGCCTGCAGACACTGGTTTCCTGTGGGGTTCGGCCCCTCTCCCTGCCTTTTCCAACACGTGCCCTCCGCACTTGGTCTTCCGTGCAAACCCCTGCCGTCCTCTCCCCCTCCTCCAGGTTCCCTTGGCCCAGCCTGAGAAGCGGGGTGAACAGCCCCCACTCAGCGGGGCGCCATATTGTCCAGCTAGGGTGTAGGGTGGCTAACAATATTGAGAGCCAAGGAACCTCCCTCTAAGGACCAATGGACCCTTCTAGCAAGGAGCAGGGTGGGCAGAGGATGGGGTGTTCCAGAGAGGATGCTAGGGGACCCCAAGGGACCCCAGGGGACTTCTGTCAGCATCCTCCTGGGAGCAGCCCGAGCAACAATGCCATGGGAGGTAGTTTGATCAGATACCAGAGTAGAGGGTTCCATTAATTGTGTGTGTGTGTGTGTGCACCAGTCCTGGGGCTTGAACTCAGGGCCTGGGCGTGGTCCCTGAGCTTTTGTGCTCAAGGCCATCACTCAACCATTTGAGCCACAGCTCCACTTCCCATTTTTGGTGGTTAATTGGAGATAAGAATCTCATGGACTTTCCTGCCCAGGCTGGCTTCGAACTTTGATCCTTAGATCTCAGCCTCCTGAGTAGCTGGTATTACAGGCATGAGCCGCCAGTGCTTGGCTTCCAATGAAACTAAACCCACAGGATCCCTGTTAACACTGGACAAAGAAGGCCAAAGACAGAGCCCAAGGTCAAGGCTCAGCAAGAAGACGGATTTAAGCTGTCCTACAGGAGATCCTTTGTCCACACCAATCAAAGCTGGCCGTTCGAACGTTTCCAGAATTACCAACGAAGCCTAATTGCCAGTTTGGGTAAAGGCTCCCGCTCTGCCTTCTCCTCTCCCCTGGAAGACGGTGTGACCTTGGGCTGAGTTGGCCCAGCAGATGGCCTGGCCTGATCTGCCTCCATGGGGACCCAGGGTTGGACTGTGTCCAGCCCCCCTGATCCACCTCTTCCTGAATGGGAGATGGCTCCCCCTGCGCCCCCGGGTGCCAACACCAGCCCTCATGCTCTCCAGGAGCTCCAGCAAGCCCCACATGGGCCTCATGGCTCCCCCTTCTTTTCCCCACAGAAACACCACTGCCTGGCTCTCCACCTCTGGCTGCTTCTCTTCTGAAGTGTCCCTGGCTGCTTTGTACCCCTCTTCCCTCCCTCCCTCCTTCCTCCGGTCTCACACATGGTGTGCGGTCCTACACAAAGCGGTCTTGTACAAAGTGCTTTGCAACCAGCCCAGGGTCCCCTCCACAACTGTCCCGCTGTGTGACCTGGGGTCAGTCAATTAACTTCACCCAGCCCTGTGTCGTTTATCTGCCTGAAATTAGGGAGATCATCTTATTTACTCCCATACACACACCCCCAGGCAGGGAAGAACGCTGGGTTTTCCGAAGGCAGGCAAACTTTGATTAGCTCCGGGAGGAAGGCGATGGATCTGCCCCTCCCCTCCCCAAACAGCTGCAGGAATCCGCTCCAGCTGTCTTGGGCTGCCAGATGTTTTATTGCTTTTGTTTCTGGATGGGGAATAAGTGGGTGGGCAGGAGCACGGGTGGGAGGGGGCTTGGAGACTAGGGGGGGGGGAGTCTTGGACACTGGATGGAGGGAAAGCAAAGGAGAAGAGAAGAGGAGGTGTAGGGGTACGCTCACTCAAGGCTCCCAGGCCCTTCTTGCTGAAAGGCCAGCCAAGGGGGTGCTGGGTCAGGGAGTCCCCCAGTCATCCCGGGAACGCTCTCAGATGCATCCAATACAATTCATGTGAGCAAGAGGAGAGTAGTCACAGGGAAACGTGGACTGGTGGCATGTGGGGGGTCCAGGGAAATTCGAAAGATGTTCACAAGTTAGAAGTGAAGTTGCCATTGTTCCCCACCCATACTCATGGGATCCAAGTTCACAGACTCTCAGATTATTCAGTAGTAGTAGTAGTAGTAGTAGTAGTAGTAGTAGTAGTAGTAGTAGTAGTACTGTGGTTTGATCTTAGGGCCTGGTCCTGTCCCTGAGCTTTTTTTTTGCTCAAGGCTAACGCTCTACCACTTGAGCCACAGCTCCACTTCCGGCTTTTTGGTGGTCCATTGGGAGATGAGTCTCATCGATTTTCCTGCCCGGGCTGGCTTTGAACCGTGAACCTCAGATCGCAGCCTCCTGAGTAGCTGGGATGACAGGCGTGAGCCACTAGTATCTGTCTAGGGCTCCCCTACCCCCACTTTTACAGCTCCATGAAAGTCTCCACTGGCCCCCCTCTACCTCCAGTATAACTATCTCCCCTGGTACCCCCATCTACCACCAAGCTGTGCGGCCCCGATCTCCAGAGAACCCCCACATACACACCCCGAGTTCCCCATCCCCTCCATCTCCCCCATGTCCCTTGCTGCCCGAAGGCTCACCGCCAGAGCCCCGCCCAGTGCCTGGCATGCCAGAGAAGCCACAGGGGCCCAGGGCCTGGCTTGGGGTCACCCCTGGCGGCCCCAGGGCCCTTCCTTACCTGAGAGCACCGTGAAGACAGCAGCGAAGGCATTGAGCTTCAGCCCGTCGATGACATTGCTAGAGTGGAAGAGTTCGAGACACATAAGGCTGAAGCCCACCACCAGCAGCAGGATGTACAGGACCTCCGACACCACAGACAGCCACAGCACGCCTGCGGGGCAGAGCAGAGAGGCCCCACGTGGGGGGGGCAGGCCTGTCAGGGCCACCTGCGGCTCTGCCTGGGGGACCCCCTCCCCACCTGTCACCCCGCCATGCTGATGCCCAGCCAGGACCCTGAGATCAACCACAGCCCCGTGTGTGTGTGTGTGTGTGTGTGTGTGTGTGTGTGTGTGTGTGCACGTGTGTGCGCGTGTGTGCCAGTACTGGGGCTTGAACTCAGGGCCCAGGCGCTGTGTCTGAGCTTTCCTGCTCAAGGTTAGTTCTCTGCCATTTAAACCACAGCTCCAATTCTAAGCTTTTTGGTGGTTCATCGGCGATAAATAAATCTCATGGACTTTCTTGTCTAGGTTGGCCTTTTTTTTTTTTCCTTTTTGGTCAGTCGTGGGGCTTGAACTCTGGGCCTGGGCGCTGTCCTTCAGCTCTTCAGCTCAAGGCAGGTGCTCTACCACTTGAGCCACAGCACCACTTCTGGTTTTATGGTGGTTTACTGGAGATGAGTCCCACACACTTTCCTTCATAGGCTGGCTTTGAACTGTGATCCTCAGAGCTCAGCCTCCTGAGTAGCTAGGATGACAGGTGTGCACCACTGGTGGTGCCCAGCCCGGGTTGGCCTAGGAACCAAGATCCTCAGATCTCAGATCTCCGGAGTGGCTCGGATCAAAGGCCCACACCACCAGCACCAGGGCCCAATGAATTCTTCATGTTTACCTAAATCGATTTGCGGAAGAATTCCCATCACTGACCAACCACTGCGAGTTCTCATCTTTTCACAGCTCACAGGCTGGGCCATCCCTACCCCTGCCTGTAAGCAGCGATTCCTTCCACCCAGGCCTAGCCCGGGGGTCTTCGGGCCAGGTGATTTACCCAGTGGAGAGAACCCCAGTAACTGAAGCACGCACCTTCATCCCTGCTACCCCAGGGGCTTGTAGGGTTTGGGAAAACTTCTCCCTCGCTAAAAATAATCGCATCTCCTGGGCAAACCCGTGGATTCCGTGCGCGCTTGGCAGCCTGCGTGTCGTGAAAACACCTCCCTGGCACCACACATGCACACACGGTCCCCAAAGCTTCTGCTGGCCCTGAGCCAGCTCAGCAGGGAGCTGAGCTGTGCCAGGAGGAGCTGCCCCCCCACGCCAGCTGCCCAGGCTCCTCTGGTGGCCTCTGCAGCATTTGGGGGGCCCCCGTCTCTGAGCTCTGACTCAGCTGCTCCCCGACCTCAGCCCCCACCCCCAGGCTCCTCCCTGCCCACACCATTCTGGGCCAGGCCCTCCCCTGCTCTACCTGCCAGCCTGGCTGGCACAGCTCTGCTCTGTCAGGGGTGCTGGGTGCTGGGTGCAGGGCCTGGGTGCTGGGGGTTAAGTTAGCGGCGGAGTACTGGGCTCCAGGCACCCAGCTGTGTGATGAAGTTACTTCTGGGATTCTTGCTGAGCATCACCCCCCACCCCAACCCCTGGCCCCTACCCTCAGCTTTGCTCCAAAGGCTCCAGTTCATCCAAGCCCAGGAAAGGACTGGCACTAACAAGAATGAGGGCAGGCATACTTGAGCCACAACCCCTGCCCAAGCCCTTTGGGCTTTTCTTTATCTTTCATGTAGGGTCTCATGTTTTGGCCTTGGCCAGCCTGAATGGTAATTCTCCTACACAGCTCTCTCCCACCATGTAAGCTGAGATTACAGAAGGGTACCACCAAGCCCCAGCTTCTGGATTGAGATGGAGTCTCACTTTTTTTTTTGCCCAACCTGGCCTTGAACTGTGACCTTCCCCAATCTCCATCTCTCAAATAGCTGGGATTACAAGAATGAGCGACCATGCCGGGCTACAAGGTATTTCTGTGGTGTGGACTCCTCTGTGGCCTTCTTATAGAAACAACTCCTATAGGGCCGAAGCTGGTGGCCAACCAGCAAGGCCAGAGACACTAGGACGTTGTCTCTCAGACACCCATCCCCTGGCCCCAGACTCCCTGACCCAGGAGCTCCCGGATGGGGCCAGGTCTGTGTTTCTGTAGATCCCACCATGATGCTTGCACATGCTCAGAGATGAGGTCCACTGTCTATGGTGTCTGCTTAAATGCACATATACGAAAAACCAAAGCGGAAGGGAGGCAGCGCCCAGCGGGCAGGGAAAGCTCCTGGCCCACAGAGAGAAGATGGTGGAGCCATTGGGAATGCTGCCCTGTGCCCAGCTGAAGGGAGGGGGGATGGAGGAGGCTGGCATCCCCACACCCCTGCCCCGACAATGCAGGGGGGGGAGGGGAGGGGCGGGCGGACAGGCTCCACAATCACCGAGTGATTGTGCCAGTCCCCGAGAGTCGCCACTAATGACTGGATTTGCAGAGAAGAATGGCCGACCTCCGGGGCCAGGGAGAAATGAGATGATTTCTCATCAGGCCCGAGGCTCTTAGGATGACAGCTAATCCCCCTTAGGGGGGGCTGCTTTTCTTTTTTTTGGGGGGGGGTCTGGTCCTGGGGCCTGAACTCTGGGCCTGGGCCTGGGCACTGTCCCTCAGCTCTTCAGCTCAAGGCTAGCGCTCTACCACTTGAGCCACAGCACCACTTCCGGTTTTTTTCTTTTTGCTTATGTGGTGCTGAGGAATCGAACCCAGGACCTCAGGCATGCAAGGCAAGCGCTCTCCCACTAAGCCATCTTTCCAGCCCCAGGGGGGGGCTGCTTCTCTCTCTCTGTCTCTCTCTCTGTCTCTCAGTCTTTGTCTCTCTGTCTCTCTCTCTCAAAAAATAAATAAAACTTCTCGAAGCCAACTCTAATCCCGCACTGGCAGAATTGATGGGTTGGGGGAGAGGATTTCCTGACTTCTTGCCCCTGATGAGAGCGCAGGGCGGGCTCCTGGGTTGGGTGGGGGAGGTCCTGGGTGTGGTCGGTAGGAGAGGCCTTTTCTCTCCGCCCCTTGGTGACCTCAGGCCATCACAGGTCCGCAGTATCAATGATGCACACATAATGAGCTCAGGCAAGCCAAGCAAGATGGTAAGACATTACTGTGAGTGATTGTAACCATTAGCCATCATCATAGCCAAGCCAAGACAGAAAGGCAGCAGCAGGTGCTCAGCCTGTAATCCCAGCTACTTGGGAAATGGAGGTTGAGAAGATCACAGTTCAAAGCCAGCCTGAACAAAAAAAAAAAAGTGAGTGAGACCACAATTCAGCCTATATCAACCAAGCATCGGAGCCGGGCGCTGGTGGCTCACGCCTGCCATCCTAGCTACTCAGGAGGCTGAGATCTGAGGATCATGCTTCAAAACCAGCCTGGACAGGAAAGGTTGTGAGACTCTTCTCTCCAATAAACCACTAGAAAACCGGACGCGGCACTGTGGCTCGAGTGGTAGAGCGTTGGTCTTGAGCTGAAGAGCTCAGTGACAGACCCCAGGCCCAGAGTTCAAGCCCCATGACTGACAAAAAAAAAAAAAAAGCCCAAGCATGGTGGCTCACTTCTGTAATCCCAGCTACTTGGGAAGGGTTATAGAGGAGAATCACAATCCAGGCTAAGAGCAAAACCACAAGACCCTATGCAAACCCCTCATGGAGCAAAACCACAGCAAACATTGAACACGTGGCAGGGTCGATCCACAGACACATGCTTTCAGAGTAAACCTCTCTCTTTTTGTTTTGTCGGTCGTGGGGCTTGAACTCTGGGCCTGGGCGCTGTCCCTCAGCTCTTCAGCTCAAGGCGAGCGCTCTACCACTTGAGCCATAGCACCACTTCCGGTTTTCTGGTGGTTTATTGGAGATAGGAGTCTCACGGTCTCTCTTGCCCGGGCTGGCTTTGAACCGAGATCCTCAGATCTCAGCCTCCTGAGTAGCTAGGATGACAGGCGTGAGCCACCAGCGCCTGGCTACATCTCTCTTTTTTTTAAAATACAAATAGCAAGACTAATAATTAGCCACATATGGTGGTTAACACCTGTCATTTCAATCTCTCTGTGGAGAACTGGATGGATCTGGGTGCTGGGTTCAAGGCTAGCTAGGGCAAAGAAGTTATTGAGCCAGCATTTCAACACCCAAACCAGGTCTGGTGGCTCACGTCTGTGATCCCAGCTACACTGGAGGCAAAGGTAGGAGGCCCTAGCAAAAAAATCAACCATGAAACACTCTCCACAGAATAACCTAACGCTTCAGTGGTTAGAATTACCCACCTGGTACACCCAACACGTGAATAAAAATAAATGAAGGGGAAAAAGCAGACTGTGAAGTACGATGTAATAGTAAATGCATAAACCAGTGACACAGCTTTAGCTGTCATAAAGCGTGATACACCGGGTGGGAGGCGTGGCTCAAGTGGTTAGAGCGCCAGCCATGAGTGGAAAAGTCAAACTCAAGTGTGAGGCCCTGAGTTCAAGTCCTGATATTGGCACACACACACAAAATAAATAAATAAACAAAAGAATGAATTCACCTGGCTCTGGTGGTTCACACCTGTCATCCTAGCTACCCAGGAGGCTGCGATCTGAGGATCCAAGTTCAAAGCCAGCCCTGGCAGGAAAGTGCATGAGACTCTTACCTCCAATGAACCATCAGAAAATCAGAAGTGGTGCTGTGGCTCAAGGTGGTAGAATGCTTGCCTTGAAAAAAAAGAGCTCAGGGACAATGCCCAAGCCCTGAGTTCAAGGCCCACTCTTGTGTCCGTACAATCTCATGGGGTCACTGAACAGTTGGTGTCTTGTGATTTGGGTTGACAGGAGCTGGGCAGGGTGGCTGCTGACCCTGCGCGTGGCCACAGCAGTGAACAACCCGTGGCCACAGTGCTCCGGCGCTGTGTGATGTGTGTGCCCGTCCTGGGGTTTGAACTCAGATCTCAGCCTCCTGAGTAGCTATCCGGAGGTGGACTGACCGACCGATCAGGAGAAGACAACTTTTTTCCCTCAAAAGAAAAAAAAATATCAGTTTAATGCATGAATTGGATCCATGATGACATGGTGGCGGCCACCAGCAAGACAGGCCACCAGCGGAGGCGGAGCATGCGAAATCATGTAAATTCATGTAAATG